GACCGTCGTTTTATAGTGCAACCATAGAGCTACAATGGTGCAACGTAGTTGCACAATAGTTCGTTTTGGTGTTTGGCAAATTTCCAGGGACATGGATCCCGCGGCCGCTCGTCAGATCGATCAGCTGTATGGCCCACCGATAGTTCTGTTCACATACATGTACATATTGTACGTGCTGCGTGGTCACCGCGAAAAGCCTTATGTTTATTAATAAGCAGTCGTAGGTGTGTCGAGGTTACTGTGTAATAATTGGTTGGCTGGTGGCTGGTTAGGCTAACTGTAATATAGGGGGGCGTGAAATAACTGCGTGTGGGCGTGTGATCTTGGAGACTTTGTAAATCGAAACACCATGGGCGACATTCCTCCATGAGTGTACGTACAGCTCAAAGTGACTTCACGCAGAAAGATCACAAAATTGTAGAGGTTGCATGCCTGGATGGGGACGATGCATTCTTCATTAAACTCACAAGTCTATTCTTAAGCCAACCACTTCGCATTGCAAGATATATCACGTGCCAGATAAGTAAGGTTGATTTTGTAAGCCAATCTTTATTTATAGATTAAATTCCAATTCATATGCCACAATGCATTCTTTATGGTGCTTCCACTAAAATGTACATTTTTTTTCATTTTTTTAACACAGGGGAACTTGAATTGAACTTGTTGGAAAGGCCACATGTCACGAATGCAGATGTCTTGACTGATGGTTTTATTGATTTGGATCAAAATATATGTTTCCCTTACTAACAAAATTTTGGATTTTCATTGCTACAAAAACAAGCCATAAATTCCCCGGGCTTCTTGTTTCCAGATTCGTAGGCCCTCAGAGAACTTTCTACCCCTTAGTCCCCCTCGGAAAGTTTCCACACCCCTCTGAAGAAAATTGCCAACGCGGGCGCAAAACGACAACGACTGCGCTCCATTCATTATTTGGGCGCCGGATGACGTCACGATTTACTACGAAATACACGGCGCAAAATCGCAAGAACGCTAGTTTGGACTGAGTATCCGGGAAAAATCCCCCAGTCTTCCATCCACAATGGAGTACACAACAACGTACAACCCCGATTCAGGCAACTTCTCAACAACGATAGATTTCCCTCCTGAAGATTCCAAATCCTGGGGAAATTTTTCGCCCATGACGAGTAAAAAACCTGTCTCCAGAGCGCTGGTGAGTACCGAAAAAATGTCTGCCCATACCACGAGGCACATACATTCCATCGACATGCTTCACTGTAGTGCTTGCTGTTTTGCCTTTATTGAGTGAGAGTCCGAGCTTGGTTGTACATGTCTTCCATTTCACTCGGGGAATTATTGAAAACTGTTAACATAGGCCCCCATTCTCTGTAATTTTTATTAATACAGGGCATAGGCTAGTTGGTGAAACGGGCTTTGTGTACATGTGTACTTCGTACAGTGCACCGTTGTTGTGTGTACCGGAGAATCAGTGAATTGGCGCCAAATTCAAACGCGCCAAAAACCGAACAAACCGTACCGCAACTGGAGTTGAGTTGCACAGCCCACCAAGATTAAGATGTTTTGTAAATGTTTTGTGGGTACTTGGGGGTTAGTTTTGGAATGGTAGTGATAGATTTCTTTTGCAAAGATTACATATTTTTCGTGACATGTATTAGGACCAAATTTTAGGCGACTACATGTAGGTACATTTCTCATTTGTTTGAAGTAAACCATCATGGCCATCCATGCCATCAGCACTGCATGCTACAGTATGTATCAGTCAACATCAATGTGTTCAGCTGTTCAAATGTCTGGTCACAACAGCAAGAACATGTCATCTTGATTGATAAATATTGCCCTACTATGGTTGAATCAAGTTAATATATGTAAGATACTGTAGATCTTTTCTTTTTTTAGGCTTGTTGCACATTCACTGGCTGACAATGCATGTCATTTTTAATGATTTCATACATGACTAATGTTTCCCTCCTGTGACATGTCAGCAGAAAGCGATAACATGTCCTAAAAAGTAAAATGTGAAATTTTATCAGGAAATATATTGAAATGTTTGCTTAGAAAATATGCTTAGCAAGTGTTACAGGTTTTGTGGACAGGGTGCCGAGTGATCTGTGTTTGGTACTCTGTGCTGAAAAGTGATTGCTCTACACATATCTATGGCTTATTACTTCCAAACATTTACCATACCTTTACCATACCCTTGTATCTGAAAGCAAGGTAACATTAGTGTACACGATGTACTGTACAACTTTATTTCTTCCAATTTTACATTTTCCCAACATTTGCCTCCCCCCCAAAAAAACTTCAGAGCTACGTCATAAAAAGATGGGTCAGGATACCTGAAGGCCAGGAGGGACAGAACAGCCAGCAAAATCTTTTGTTTTTTATACCTTAGTACCACTGTAATTATGGTGTCTGTGTTTACATCCACTATTCACATATGTTCATTCCCCACGCAGACAGCGTTCATTACAAGCGCACATGAGCACTTCATTTTCAGGCAGACAACAGTCTTTGTGCAAGCAGATGACGTTATAGCGTGAAATGTTTCAATGACTGACCTCGTAAAATACCAGTGTAGAAGCAAAAAGAAATTTTTTGAGGATCTAAACATCACACCATGAACAACACACAATTTTCCACCATTAGTGAGATTTTTAAATGATGGTAAATCTTAGAACAGTATAAAAAAGTGCATTTTACTGACCGTTTCTAACAAAAAAAAAAAAATCGAAATTGCAATATGTACTAATTTCATCAATTTATTTTTTATGGAAAATAAATTTTCTGAGACAAAAATGTAGCACCAAATTAAAGATTTGCCCTCAATGCATTGATTTCAGTCATTTATTTTGAATCCGCCAGATAAAATTTTTAATAATCAAGTCATTTTGAATCACCCCAAAAGGTATTGATCCAACAGGGCATGAAAATTGAAGGCCATTTTGTTTCCATTTTTATCACCGAAATGGTATATCCAACACGAGGATGATAAATTTCTGTTAGATTGCACCGATTTCATTAGTACTGATACAAGTACAGTGTACCATTTCATAAGGTAGAATCATTAAATTAGTGACATTTCCTTGTCATCACTTCCGCTGCTGTGGACACTGACCGGTGCGGTACCCAGACATCAAGGTCGTTGCGTCTGCCCGGGTACTTGTGCATAAACATGTACATGTCACACATTCACATTTAACATGCATGTATTGTATGCGCAACTGCACTTGGCCCATGACTGGCCACTACAAGAACGTTACTCAAAGGTCTGCCCTTACAAGAGTATGCAAGGGTGTCCTCCTTTTTGCCAAACGTTTGACAAAGCAATAATTCCTGACTTGAAGAATTAAGATTTATTAGGACATAATATTTTTCCACTACAAAATGTCTGGTTTCACATGATTTGGCGCAAAAATTTGGTTCATATTGAAACTATTTTTACAAAACTTTTATCCTATGGATTCCCTGTTCTTGAGTGCAAAAGATTAAGAAAGTCTTGTAGTTTATGTGAATCGACATGTACATGCAGTTCTTATATAACCAGGAAGACTCATTTTTAATAGATATTAATCAATTTTTTCCAAAAAATAAAATGATTTGGGGGTTATTTGAAACCACATTTTTCATTTCTTTTTTGAGGCACAAAATCATTGCTACTGAATAATGAAACAATTAACGTAATTTGGATTTGTCACGAAAAATTTCATTACTTACACGTATGCCCCTTTTCCTGGAAATCCATTAACAAAGATGACACCTCATTTTGAAATCAGAACATGCGAAATCAGACAGCCTGTTGCTATGCTGTTAAGTGCAAATATTGCGCACGCGCACTTTGGTAATGAGCGCCATGAACATGTACCGGTACGTGTACCAGTATTTGGCACATTCTTATAGCATTGTATACATGTACAGTATTCCACCTTTAACTGGTACTAATACTTTTTCTAACATTGGCAGGGCAATGGAACAGGTGAAGACTCAAAGTGAATTTTACCACAATTCTTTGGTCTCATGCATACATTCAATACATACATGTACATGTACACTACAATTATTAATTGCAATTCATGAGATGGAATTCAGACCTACGTGTACACATGCGTGAATGGCAATTTCGGACATTTTCCCTTGTTTTAGAAAAGAATGTGAGGTTGGTCAAGTAGTACAGTCTTTTAAATCATCTGGAAATTCTTGGCCCCCAATGGAATATTGTAGTCAATTAAATTACATGGCACTGTCTAGTCACAGTGTTAATACTAAGCACAAATGCAGGTTTTTATTATTTTATAAACCACATCTAGGTAGTGAGTGAAAACAGCTACGAATTAATGAAAAGTTGGGTTTAGAGGAAGACTGGTACATGCGTGTTTCAAACTGGTAATAGTTTTGATTCGTGGGTACATGTACAATGTAGCTTAATAAAAACACTTGAATGCATTGTTTTTCTCGAGGCTTGCACTAAATAATCTTGCATGAACTCTTTTTGCAAATTTCTACACTTTAAACTTGAAGGAGCAATTTCATGCAGTGGATATTCCGAGACTCCCTTTTTGTGTACTTTATACTCTTCTTTTGATCAGTTGGACTCCTTTTGGAGCGTATTGTATTATCCAAACTTTTCCAGGAAAGTGAGGGTGCTGTTGTATTCAAGTCTGGGAAGAAACTGCTTACTTTACATGTCTTCATGTTCAAATATTGAACCCCATATTTGCTCTTTGAGAAAATATTGCATTTGCAAACACATTTTTTAAACAACAAAATGCCAAAGAAATGTTGCATTTGTGTACGTGTATACATGTACTTTGAACAACGATAAATTGCCAAAGAAATTGACATTTGTGATGGCAAAACAAAAATTCCCAGCAAATTCTGTGCATAAATCATTGATTGAGGTTCAGTGCCTGGAATGAGGTCACAGTGTTGCTTATGAATATACAAATTGCAATAGCATATATGTATGTAAAACCCATAAAGAACTCTAAAATACAGGTACAGATTGAAATGGCAAAAAATAAACGAAAAGAAGGTTAATTGAAACACAGTTGCAATTTCAAGGATTATAGTAAAATACTTGTTTTGCACGGTCCATTTACACTGTAAAGTCTGCCTTCCTTTTTCAATGTACTGCGGCTGCTTTAATAGTTTGCTGGGAAATCCAATTTAATAACAATGCAAATTGTTCTTGTATGCCGTGGTACTTGCCTGCTTATACACAAATGGGCTGTAATTTGAAAAGTTAGTGGCCCGAGGCTACAGATTTTCCATTTAATGTCACAGTAAAATTTGTTTATTTGGTATCGTGCTGATGGAAAAAAATTCAATTCAGCATACATGTAGTTTTTGCATACTCTACATGTACATGTACATGTACTTGTACTTGAGGAATGGTCAAATGTCATGATTCATGAGAAAGCACCTGTAGAACCTTTTATGCAAAAGCTAATTGAGCTGAGGGGGCTATGGATTCATGGCACACTAGTCTTGCAGCAGTATTTTGTACTCTCTGAAGTTTCATTGAGTTGCACTGTGCTACGCCATACAAGTTACTATTGCAATAATCAATACGACTTGTAACAAGGGAATGAACCAGCACTTGAGTGTCCCAACGAGTAAGATACTTTCTAATACTACAGTATGTATGTTATACAATTAATGAAAACAAGCGCTACAAGTTTTATTAATGTGCACTTTCATCTGAAAGTGTTGGTCAAACCCAAAACCAGATTTTTGGCGCAAGAAACTGGAGTAATACAATTATTACCAACCATTATATAATCATAATTCATCTTAGCCAGCCGTTTCCTTGTACCAATGACTAATAAATCAGTCTTTGCATCATTAATCATCAATTTATTATTTAACATCCAATTACGAACAGCATGTATGCACTTGGTCAATTCCTCAACAGCAATAGCTTGACCTGCAGCTGACCGTGCCTCAAACGAGAGATACATCAGGGTGTCATCTGCATATGAATATACCTCTGGCAGATATGATTCAACTATATCAAATAGTCTACTGGCATAGATTACAAAGGCATGAACCTTGAGGAACGCCATAGGACAAGTTAAAGTTATCAGATTGTGCTCCATTTACTAAAATTCATTGGGACCTTCCAGACAAGTAGGACTGAAACCAATGTAATGCAGTATCATAAATGCCAAATTTTAAAGACAAGCGTTTCAGCAAAATGTTATGGTCAATAGTATCAAATGCTGCACTTAAGTCAAGCATAACCAATAGTGTCACCTGCTGCCTACTCATGTTGGATAGAATGTCATTATGTACCTTGAGTAGAGCAGTTTCAGTACTGTTTTGCTTCCTGTAAGCAGATTGGTAAGTGGGATACAGTAAATGAGACACCATGTGATCGTTAATCTGTTCAACCACAGCTCTCTCAATAATTTAGATATGAAACTAAGATTACTTATTGGCCTGAAATTACTCAAAACAGATCCCAATCCAGGATTCTTTAATACTGGTAATACAAGGGCATGTTTCCAAGAGTCAGGAAAGACAAAGGTTTGAAGGCTCATGTTGACCATGCATGTCCAAATGGGCAAAAGAACATCCAAACAATCTATTAAAAAATTAGTTGGAATTGGATGGAGGCTACATGATTTGACACACGTACTATCAATTAAGGTCATGATATCCGCACAACTAAACTCGTGAAACCCAGAGAACTTGGGAATACAACGATTGTGGATAATGCATGTACCATTGTCATCAATATTCCTGTAATCGTTAGAACACACATTCAATTTAAGGCGGAAAGTATTTATTTCAGTTTGAAAAAACTGTCCAAGAGAATTAGCCAATTGGAAGCATTGCCATTAACCGGAACACATTTTTTCTCTTGGCAAACAATAAATTCATGACATTGAACAAATACTTTTGATTATTACCATTACTGTGAATTAAATGGGTATAAAATTCACGCTGAGCATTAATTCATAAAAAATTTTGTAATAATCCTCTGTTTCTTGTACAACCTGAAGTCGGACTCAGAGTTCATCTTCTCTCAGCTTTCCTCCTTGGCCTTTTAGATTCCTTCAAATCTTGACTAAACCACGTTTCTAAACCAAATTTGTTCAAACAGAAGATTGAATATTGGAACACCCAATTATACGGGGTAAGCTTTGCCTACATGTGATTACATAAGAGATGCCTTGCACCAATGCACCGTTTTCAGTGGGTAAGAAGGGCATAAAGGAACCAGTCAATTCCAGAGAAGGTGGTCGCTATGCAAAAGCTTGCCCCAAATAGCAATCTTGTCTTTAGTCTGGGGAAACGATGGAATTCAAAATTCCCAGTGAAAAATGCTTGTACAGTACTGGTACTGTATGTTTCTGAAGGCTCTGTCCTTTATAAAAATGAATCAAACTAAATACAAAAAAATGTCGATTATTGTTTTTAATGCTTTGGTTGTTAGTATCAACTACACATGTACTGTACATGTAGACTTGAACTCTGCAACTTGGTTGTCATCCTTTTGTGTGTTGATCTGGCCAATAGAGGGCGCTCTTTTAATCTGAATAGGAAGATACCATTTAGGAAAAATTGGTGGAATAACAAAGATACAGGTGTATTCAAGGATACATGTATCGTACATGTACATGTAATTTGTTATAGAAACTTGTACATGTATGAATATAAGGATGCCTTTTATATGACGGGAATGTCTGTACATCTTTCCTCAAGTTAGATCAATGTTTTGTGCGGGTGCAGGGTTATCCACAGTCCTGACATGTAGATTTATAAATTATAACCATCGTTTAAACAATATAAATTAGACATGATATGCATGTTGTAATCAGCCCTCTTGACATCCTTACTGCATCTTGGACAAACACATCACACATTTTTTTTGCAAGAACTGAAGGCCCAGTAAACCAGACACGTACATGTACATGTATACCCATTTATCTTCATAATATTTCTGAGGCGTTTGTATTGATACCTTTTTATTAAGTTGCAGCAACTGAATTCGTCAAAGCCTACAACAACAAATTGCCTTTTTGAAGAGCATGTTGACAAATTAACATGATCGCTGAATGTGGGTTAATGAGTTTCAATTCCTTAATCTGATTGGTCAACAGAGTGAATAGCATACATGTACATGTACTTGTACATGTACATGTAGCGGCAGACTATTGCATCCTAACTTGAAATTCACCATCATATTCTTAGAAAATAATTTACATGAATGGCATTTCCCAAAAATTTGTTTTATGAGAAGCTTTAAAATCTTATTTTTGTGAATACAAGTAACTTTATTCCGAGTTTGATTCATTTCAAATATATAAATTTGGTCATTAAGAGTGGAAAGTTTGGAAACTGGGTAATGGAGTCAGTTTTTCTGCTGGGTTGGGCATAAAATTCACAGTCTCAGTTACGTTACAAAACTGGACAAGTACATGTAGTTTCCTCAAATGAAATACAGCTGAAACAAAGTATTTCTGTTATTGCATACCAACAAATATTTTGAAGTACAGCCCCCTGAGCCCCCAAAATGCATTTCACCTTCATGATTTACATGTAATTCCAAAGGGGATGCATGTACTTGTACATGTATATTATACTGTACATGTGTAAGATTGACTTGGAACTGTTGCATAACTACTTGATACATGAAACTCACAATATGAGGCAGCTTTGGAACTTGTTTAAACTTTAATCTTGAAAAAAGGGGGAAAAGTACTGAACATACAGCTACATGTATACATGTACATGTATGTTGCACAATGCACTGTACATTGGACATGTAGCTTGCTGTGTGTGCGCATGTACGTGTCAATCAGTTTAATAAAAATATCTTAATATGGTAGCCAAATTTCACCAAGGTTTTTTGTTAACTGTCTAGACTCTTTAACAAACAGAAATCCCTCTCAAACTTACCGAGATCCAGTGTAAATATGCTTTATGATGTTTTGTGGGGCTAAAATACCTACTGTACATGTGCAAGTAGCTGGTATGCCATCTAAAACCTGATGGGAAAGGTCAAGCGCAATGTAGATTGTACATGTACCAGGGTTGTCTGAACACCTTGATTTAAATCACATGATTTTTTTTGGGGGGGGGAGAAATTAGTGATTTAAATCAAAAAGTTCAATTTTTAGGTAAAAAGGCAAAATTGTTTCAACCCTTGGATGTCTTTTTGGCTCATTGGACATGTTTCAAAGTTTTGCACATTTTAAACAGCAAATCACAAATTTAATCAAATTACTCTATATAAATTTCTTAATTTAAATCCAATTTACATGTATTCAATTTTGTCACAAAATAAATAAAAGAAAACTATTACACATGCAGCCAATTTGCTTGCTTTTGGATAGACATTTAAGCCAACTTGTCTCACATTTTTATAAAATAAAAAAAAATGATTTAAATTTTAAAAAAATCTGGTTTTAATTAAAAAACAAAAAATCAACAACCCTGGCATGTACACATACAATGTACTGTACAAGGTCCCAATTGGTGTGCTCGGGTCATTATTGTCTGGTGCACATGAGTTGAATGTTAGCCATGCATTGTATGGTGGAGTGAATAGTACATGCATGTGTACAGGTAATTCTAAAGATGACAGGTACTGAGTGTTGAGTACGCACCCTTACCTATTGTCATTCAGATAGCAGATAAGTTACAGGAGGCTAGCTTTTGTGTACAGAGAGGTGCATGTAGGCCAACCGAAGTTGTCAGACTGTACCATTTATAAAGAATGAGGTGTTCCGTTACATGTTCATGTATACACCTCCCTTGTTTTTAGTGCTTTTGCTTTTCTCAGAGCTACATGTAAGAAAAACAATTTCCATCATGGATGAAGTCTGTCGAGGAATGACATTTTACGAGTCGTTGCAGGTCAGAATACTTGAATAGTTGCAATGATAAAATTTCCCTGACCCCTTTTAAAAATGGTTGAAGGTGCTCAAACTACAATAGTTGACCAATCCCTTGGCCTTGGGATTTTTTTTGTGTCCAAGTATTGGATTATGCATGCGGTTTGATATGCAAATACGTGTATGATTGAGCTGATAGGAGGGGAGGTTATTATAAGGAATTGGAAACCCATATAGTAAAGTGCAGCTTTTGGATCACAGATATTACAGTACATGTAGGAGGTGACACTCATTAACAGGTGAATCTGGAATGGTCACAAATCGCACCCTTTCCATCAGGACCAGTTGTCATAGGCTTGCAGTGTGGATGTAAATAAGAGAGCAAAATTTACAAGAAACTATTGTACCGGCAGCCATAAGGATTGTTAGGATGGCCTCCAAAAGTGCAAATCTAGATGAAGAGATTCTGCCAGTTGTAAGTTTTGGTCTGGTACATTGTAGCTTGCTAATTTTTTTGGTATCCATTTGTAAAGGTTTTGTTGGGGGGGAAGAGAACGGTGCAAATTTGACACCTTTCCAAAACAAAGTACAAAATCTGCTACATTTTGCATTTTAATCCTTTTTGGTTTCTCCACAATCTTTACATGCATGTAAATTAACGTGTTCATGCAGATGAACAGTACCCGTGTTAGTGTTTCATTTAATTACACTGATGGACGTTTACTGAATACTCTTACATGTACATCCTGTAAACTTGTAATGCTTATAAAATTGGACGTCCAAAATGAACTTTTACATAAATGAGTTGGTAAAATTTGAAGCCATGTATTTTTTTTGTTTTGAAGTTAACTCAGCCTGTAATAATTGTTGCATATTTTTCTTTCAAATTTGAAAATGTTTCCAAAAGTTCTGCTCTTCTGCGTTCCCACTAGGACACGGAGTATGGAATTCCCTTGAATGAAGTTGACAACCCTGCCTTTGATGCCTCAAAACCTGTAAATGCCGAGCGCTCAAATGGCAGCAGTTACGATCCGGAACGAGCCGTGGACGAAACCGACGGAGATGACGACCAAGATGGTGACAGCAAGCTTTGGATGGTAAAACACTACTCTCATTAAATCGTACTCTAAGCGAGTCTGTTTTCTTTGGTGGGGAAGGGTCTTGATTGGTCTCAAAATGCCACAATCATACCTGTATGTAAATGTAATACTGCAAACCATAGTAAAAAAAGCCTGGCACATTTTCAGGACAGCTCAGGATTTTCTTCCAGGATTTTTTAACCCCTGCCTCTGGATCTTTGGAAGTTTTAATCATTCTGCTCAGTAATCACACGCATTCAGGAGCAAACCCCTGCCGTGTTCGCTACCTGCATGTGTTAAAAGCCCCCAAAAGTCACAGTATGTTATTGTGACAATTGATATGATTAATCTGTTGGATGCTTTGTGGCTTTCTCCCTACTTGGATTAGGGCAAATGTGTAAGAAATCAAAATTATCAGTGAATCGTCAGGTTTGCCTTTGGAAAGTTTCTCAAAGAAGAGGCTGCTTGCTTGGTCATTGTTGATTAAAACCTTGCAAGGAAGAGAAGAAATTTGTCATTCGATACGTCAACATTGTAATCAAAAAGGAAAAGGGAGTGATTGAATCGATAAAGATAAATGAAAAGTTGCAGGGCAGTTCTGCATGTACATGTGTAAGATTGGTGCTCATGCGTGTAACAAGATAAGATCCCATATATGGATTACTTTCCCCTCTACAGTTTAAAGCTTCCATCATTGATGTTTCCATTCCGGTCATGGGAGCAACAAAATTCGAGCCTGGTCAAAATCATCCAGTGTTAACTAAAACTTTTTGTCCGTTTAAAGAAGTTTGGCAACACTTGATGAAGAAAGCTTTGGGAAACGGATCAAATCTAGAAGGGTAGTCCACAACATATTGTGTCTTTAGTTGCATGCTACATGATACAGTACATGTGATACAAAAAGTATCAACAGTGTATTCATGTACATGTATACATGTAGTTATTGTTTTCTGTAAACCTGTCCTGACCCTTTTCCCCCTGATTTTACATCAAAGACTTGTCGGGGAAACTTAATCTGGCCGATTGCTTGGTCATTTGACTTGCAGAAGCTTTCATTACCTTTGGCAGGAACCCTTTGTCACACATACATGTACATGTATGTGCATATGTATACATGTACATGTACCAAGGCTGAATTGCCCTGAGTTTGGCAAGATTTTACTCTGTCCTGAGAATCTAGCAATTGCTCATTTGTCCTGCTTCTTTCCTTTCATGAACTGTCAGTTACGAGGGGTATTGTGAGGGGCCAAAAAATTAAGGCTCCCCCTCCACAAGCCTCATGTAACAATCCATTGTAAATTTGGGCCAGGAATGCAGTGCATCAAGGAAGGTTTTTCATCTTTGTGTTTGTGCGGAGGGGAGGGATTGAAGCATGCTCCATGCTGTTGTCTTGCAGAGCCAGTTGCCGCTTCAGGCAGAATTGGGGACGGTTACTCTGGAATGACTTTTTTTTTCATGAAATGAAAAGGTACAATACATATTGTGTATCTGTGGGACATCCTTTAGTTTTATTTTATTTTTTTCATCTGTCATGAATACGTACATGTACAGGGTTATTAAAATAAGCATCGACATGTACACATACATACATGTACACCTGTACACCTGCTTTTCTGTTTGTGGGCGTTGAAAAAAAAATGTACATGTACATGTAGGTGGGAATACGTAACTTCAAAGTGTTACGCACATTAACCATTTGCCAATGTATGATATTGTAAGGGACGCTAGACAGACCAAACTGTTAAACACCATTCCAAGATACTGTACATGTACAGTGCCTAAGACAGTTTGGCTTATGGTTTAAGCCTGTTACATGTACATTGTACATGTACATGTATGTGGCTGGTCTTAATTTCGAAAAACAGCTGCTGGCAGACCACATTTTTCTGGTTTCACATGTCGGGAAATTTGGACCCATAAAATTGGTCCTTTTATTCCTAGTATTGGTTGAACTTAACAATCTTCACTTGAGTTAGCGTAACACTACTAATGAGATCTGCATTTTGAGACCCCCAATTCACACTACACTACCAGTAACTCTTGCATTCTTCCCCGCCTCATGCAGTATGCACCACGTGTGACAATCTCTCCCTTTTGGAAATTTTTTTATGACTTCTCACTGGAGGCACATACCATAAAATGGCTAGAAGGGTGCTCAAAAAAAAAGGAACCCAAATTGTTCAACGAAATTGTTGGAAAATTTTTTAAAAATTAACGTGTTTTGACTTCATTTTTTAATGATATTTGTGAATGCGAATAAACAATGTGCTTTGCCAGTTGTTTGTTTAAGACCAGCTCAGGAGAATGGATGCTGATAATTGCTTTGACTTCATTTTTTAATGATATTTGTGAATGCGAATAAACAATGTGCTTTGCCAGTTGTTTGTTTAAGACCAGCTCAGGAGAATGGATGCTGATAATTATGTCCCTTACCTGCAACTCAGGCCATTATCAGTGTCCATTCCCTGTGTAGTTTTGTCTCTCTTCAAGTGTCAACTTTGAAACCAAACCCCAATTTTCACCACCGAGTCCTGGTCTAACAGCACACACATGTTCATGTGTGGATTACTTTTGTGAATCGGTGTCGTCCCAACCCCGAGACTGTGGCCAATCAGTGCTCAGCTTTCAAATGTATGCAACTTGAGTCAGCTTGGAATGGTTACCCTCAAGTGGTTTCATTTCTGATCATCCATGAATCCCGAAGATTGGTTCACGGCACCCTAGGGGCGGGGGTGCATAAAATTTATATTACGCGCCTTTCTCGTTTGTTCAAAGTTAGCCTCAACAAATGAACATGTACACTGAATGAAATGTTAGCTTTATATTACCCGGTACATGTAGTCATCAGAATATACAAGTATATCATTGTTTCCCTCATTGCTCATTTCTCTCTTCCTTGGAAAGTTTGTAAGCTCGCTAATGTTAGGAAATAAAACTTGTCAAGTTTTCAATTTGACAAACAGCAGCTGTGGAGATCATCATAGCTGAAATTGATTTATCATTTTTTTCTTAATCTGGCCAGGAAGCCGAAATTAGGACGCCTCTATAGGAGTCCTACAATCTACTCACTGGCCAGACCCAACAGCCATGAACAAGTCAATATGTGCTCATTGAAAATTGTGCCACAGGGGTCTCCTAAGTTCCATGGGTTGTTCAGTTTTGCAGGTACCTGGTTTACGTTGTCAATAAGGGAGCAAACAAAGACCTTGGATTATAACAACCATCTGGATGATTGAGTGTTGTACTTTGTACTTTTTTACCAATTAAATGACTGGTTACGCCCATCTAAGATAAACTAAGTAGTTCGCACACATAATGCCCCTATTGGCACACACTGGTCTCCCTGGTTGTTCCATGGTGATATCACTACTGGTGGCTCCCAGCCAAGAACTGTTGAACTAACTTTTGTCTGATTTTTCTAGAATTAAAGCTAAGCCAATATTTCTCCTACATGTAGGGTGGGATCCTGACACAAATCTTCGAACTGAATAGCTGATTTACAGTCAATCACTGAGTTGTTTGGGCTTCCCATATTGTTTGAAGCTTCACAATAAGTGAAGAGATCAATCAAGTTTCAAATGCGTAAAAGTACAAAATATTCTGAGCAGGGTTCACATGGCCTGGAAAAGTCATGAAAAAGTCATGGAGACTTGTTTTCATTTTCCAGTCCTGGAATTTTGTAAAAATGACTAAAGTCATGGAATTTTTCAAACACTGTGTGTGATTTCTATTCTCAGATATACATGTAAATGCATTAAAAAAGTATTCACAACTTAAAAGGTTGAATAGTTAAAGAAATTGTGTTGTGGATTTTCATAATTTGGTCCTGGAAAAGTCATGGAATTTAATTGTTCTTTAGGTGCAGGAACCTTTCTGCGTGACTACCTTCATGTAACATGGACGTCACATGCACATGTAAGCAGTGTATCAAGAAACCTAATCAGTGTTCTTAAAAAGTATATACATGTACAGTACATGCACCTGTACAAATACATGTACATACATACATGTACATGTGCAAAGTGAAATTTGTCCAGATTTTTTCACTAACTGGAATGTACGTGTATATGTACATGTAATACTTAAGTGAGACTTGTGCTCATGCTTAATAAACTACTGTAGTTACATGTACAATTGTCTACAATACATGTACACGTACATGTACTTAGTTAAGATATGGTTTAGACATTTGAGGGCTGATTGTAGATGTAGATTTGGGATACCGTTTGCTGCAATCACAGAATCAGGACATTTGTACTGCTCACAGTTTTTTCATTCATTTGAGTGAAAGACAAATTGCACATTATTTTCTAAACTTTTAAAGTTTGTCACTTGAGTTTTTGCAAAAACTGTCAAGCACACTACACATACATGTGTACACAGAACTAGAAGCCTCAGGATTTCATGGTTATATTTCAAGAAGATTTGAACTTTTGAAGTACCATATCCTATGTAAGTTGTCAGGGAGCTGACTTGTTGTGCTAAGTGAAGCCTGCCAGATGCATCCATGTTTGTGCTCAGACCTTTGGAAATTTTGAAATTTTTTTGCGTTTTTTATATCCGTGTCTATTATAAAAGGAAGCCAAAAATATAAATGCACAATCAGCATTTACCGGTAGCTGTGCTACCGGTGTGTGTAAACGAAGAAGACGCAGGTACACCTACATGTACACATGTACATGTAGATGCTGCAGATGAATTTTGCTGAGGCTTTGCAGTGAATCATACTACTGACAGAAAATATGCTTATTGATGTGTATGGGTGTTATTTGCGTAGGTTGTGCTTGCATGTTGCATTTGCACCATAGTTGAACTGCAGATGCGTGTATGCATGTGCAGATGTCATTTCTCTCTAGATGTACACATACCGGTACAGTAGGTCGTTGAATTTAACAACTTTTTGTACATGTACAGGTAATGAGTACAGTTGAGCAGACTTTTGTTCTTGCTTTCATCACAGAAATTCAATAGAATGTTATATTGATTGATTTGGGATGATGCAGTATTGATTGATTTGGGATGATGCAGTTTATAAATATCTGTGGAGATGGGTAGGCTTTAATTAAGTTCCGTAAATGTGCATAGTTGTTTGAAGGAAACCCTTAGAATTACAGTACATGTATGCGTTCTTTTTTTTTTCTTTTTACAATGAATTATCCAGTGGCTTGACAGTAATTTTGGTGCAGTGAAGGACATGTATACCGAACATCACAACATAATCTGGAATTTCATTTTCCTGGTGCTCTTGTTGGCCTACCTGGGCTATCTCATCTACGCCTGCCTCTATGACTTCCAAGAAGCCATGATCCTTGTGATCATCACAGGCATCGCGCTGGGTCTCTACATGTACTCGGTCATCAGGGACTTCTATGGCAAACAGATCTACGATGTCACCTGTAAGCCAGGAGGCAGGTTTGTGGACAAGTACTGGCGATACATCAGATGGTAAGTGTATGTGAGTTTGTTTCTGAATTCAAATGGGGACCCTGAACAATAGAGGACAATAAGGTCCCGATTCACACAAGGTCCCCGATTGACAACTGTCTACAAAACATATGGGTGGTCTTCTAAAAAAGTTAAAGTACAAACAAAAGAGGAACAATACATGTAGGGGGTCCCAAGTTGCAGGCAAATACACACTTGTGTACGTGTGACTGCAGCATTGCCCTGTTTGAAGGAATGGGGAATGGAATACATGTACTGGTAGCATTTACATGTTAATTTTTATTGATGGGTTTAGACCTTAGACATACCGTTTAGACATACATGTACCAGTACACGTGCATTCATACATGTATGCTTAGTGTTTGCCTGAGAGCAGTGTTGCCTAGGACTTGAATCCACGACGGCATGCTTACTAGTGCAGACGTCTTAACCACTCAACCACTGAGCTTGCCAGGGTCGATTGGCCAGTCCGAGTCAACTTGTAGGAGCGAGTACCACAAACTATTTCAAGATGTGCTTTGCATCAGTGTAAGGGAAGAATCCATTATCAACAATTAACATCTCCCCAACACAAAGTACATCTTGAAAAAAGCATTTACACGTACATGATTTTCTCCTTGCAATGGAATTCAACTTCTGAGGACAAAACCCTGTTGTGTGCTGAAGCAAAATCTAAAATGTAAAAATGAAACACATGCCAATTTTGTGACTTCCAAACGCCAATTACACATTGGCAGCTCTAAGCACTTAGTTATTTTTGTTAACTGAAATGTGAGGAAAGTTTTGAGCAGAACATTTCAACCCCGTCTTCCCATGGTGTGTGTAAAAAAGTATTGAAATTAAAAGTCCCAATGTAGCACTTTTAGGCTTGTCAGTCGACATTCATTACACTCTGTACATGTACACACATGTACCTGTTATGAACCTAGAAGCAGGTGTCTTCTTTATTAACTTTGTTCTTTTTTTGATACAGTTGTACATGTAATTTTAATTCAAAAGGTGCAAATAAAGTTGCTAAACTTTTGCATGCTGTTTTTTCCAAATGTTTGTACACTTGTTAGTTAAAGAAATGCATACTGTACATACATACATGTACACACGTGTACATACACATTTATAAAATTCGACTACGCTTGGCTTCATATGTGGAGAGGAGTTTATTGAAAGCAAATGTTGTTTTTAAGTTTGTGTTTGGCAAACGGTATGATAGAGGATCAGTCATTAGGAACTCGTGATGTTTTTAGTTGGTGACCTGCTTTAACCAAGTAGATCATCCGTTTGATCTTTGATAGCGGTTTGTGGAGATCTATGCATTTGAAGCATACTGTACATACATGTAGCAGCCTGATCTATCAAAGATGGCCTGTGATATGTTCTTCCAAACCATTAACACACCTCTGTCTACTTGTATCTTCATCATCTGTTCTTAGGCCCTTGTACCTCCTAATTTTGGCCGGGGTCGCTGTGGCCCTTGTGTTTCTCACCAAGGATAACCCTGTCCAGCTGATCTCGGCTGGTGGTCTTGTCGCATTCATCTTGTTCTGTTACGTTTTCTCCAAGCATCCAAGACATGTAAGTGTATTCTTTGGCAGCATTGACAAAATTCTGTAGAGATTTACTCACTTGATGAATTTAATCACATGTATTTATTTAATCAGTACGAGTACATGTAGTTACCCCGTATTTTGTGAAATTTCTTAGGTTGGGGACGGGGGGACAGTGGTTGATTGGTCCATTGATTGTGGTCCCTGTTCAGATAAGGCTGAATCAAATACAATACATTTAGCTGAATATTCAAATATTCAGTCGCATCAAATTTTCACAGATGCAGACACAAAATATACATGTTTTTACTGTTTTACCTGTTGTAAAAAAAGGGAAAGATTCGAGTAAGTTTTAGTCTCATTATTGGCGTATTCATTCTGCTGCCATTCAGTCTAATAGTAACACATTGTGAAATATACATCTACTGTAAGATTGTACTCGTATTCTTGTAAGAAAATTATTGAAATTTTTCCTTTGAATTTCATCTCCAGGTAGGGATTTGGGATTGCAGGTATATTGCTGATATGTATAAAATAGTTTGAAGTGGTAGAGTACATGTAGATTTCACCAAGTGCATGGCTATAGTGCCCCTCTGCCCCAGCCCTCTGCCCTTTGCTGTTTTACATTGTTTTAATTTGTTCAAGGACATCCTCTTGCATTAGCAAGATTTTGAGATATTTCCAATGCATTATTACATGTGCTATGCGAGTAAACTGTTCTCAATTCTATTGTGAAATTTCAAGCAAATTTGTCAGAGGTCATGTTCAGACATCAGGTTTTCAACGAAGAGAGAAATTTTGTTAGTAAGTCATTTTGGTCCTTGTGTTCTCACTTGAGGTCCAACTCAAATGCTTGAAGACATTTGCTGTAATTGAGTTAAAGCCAGCAATCTTTCTCGTGTTGTGACTACAATTGTTGCTTTGCATTGCATTGATTTTTTTTTTAGTTGTCTGCCAGAGGTCAAATCAAGAAATTTAAATTGATAACAAAGCAAACCATCTAACAGTTGTTGACCGTGACGCACTCATTGAACTGTTCAATGCCCACAGCATTACCAAACTTTGTTTTAATTGTATTGTGTTGCATTCAAAATGAACTCTTTTTCTTCTTTTTAAAAAATGTTTTGATATAGTGTGTGATCATTTTTGTATATCCTTCTCAGGATAAGTACAGTATCTCTGTTCATGCGAACAGGACAACCATTTGAATAAGGTTGTAATATACTGGTACAGTGTACATGTGCCAATACATGTGTACATGTATGTACATGTAGTCATGCATTACATTTTTTATTGCCTTTTGAGACTTGTTTTTCAATTTTTTTTTTAATGGGGAAGGGGAGATAAAGACATGGTAAAATCCCTCAAGATTCATCTCCCAATTTTCCTACATTTTGATCTCAAAGCTGAATTTGACCAATTTTTCATGTTTGGGCAACTCAACTGACGCTGCATTTTATTGCAAAAGTTCCATAACGCCATGCAGCATGATAACAAATTGACATACCGTAGTGCTATTATCCTTACATGGTGGAGCCAAGACAGTAGACTTTTACTTACATGTACACTACACCCCATCTTTAGGTGTCACGTGTATACCCTGCAAAAAATCATAAATGGAAAATTTTTATTTAGGATTTTCATGAAGTCTGTCATAACTCAATAAGGGGAATTCACGGCTTCGTTTTGGGGTGGGGGGGTGACAAAATTCTTAAATTTAATACATGGATAGTCATAAACCAACTTTTTCTTTAGAAGTGATGCTTGTCTGCAAATTAAGAAACAAAAAGATTTTTCAAATTGGTAGGGTCAGGAAATGACTCTTTGTGACTATTTATAGCCAGTTAACTTCAAATTTTCTAACCTGAAAATGCCGCTGGGGGCGGGTTTTTTCCCCGCAAATTTATCAAACTTGCAGTTTATGTAGGACGGTCATAAAATATGTAGGGAGAAACAGCTCTTCAGTTAAACATCAGTTTTTACATTCTTTTTGCCATTTTATTCAACTGCCTTGGTAAAAATTGGGGCAGTGTCCACACAGCAACTGGTTCATAAACAGTACAAAGGTTCACACAGGCATCACCTGTGGCCATGTGTGTCTTTGCCAGTTGTTTCCATACAAAGTAGTTGCTACATGTAGTTGGGATTTTGTAGCCTTATCTCATTTTTAAAGGGATTTTGCTCCCTGGCAAATCCCCTCACCCATAGATAGGAGATCTTTTATCCTGTTAGCTCTTTTGTGTATGGTGTGGGCTCCAGGTTCAGTGTTATTAATTACTCAAGAAAGGCATTTCCATTTTATTGATTGTGGGGTTGGGTCCACAGTAGCAGTGTCCAGACACAGGATTGTCTTGGTAGCTTTGACCCAAGGAAGCGTGACGTGTTCATGTGTCAACTGCAGAAATGAAACAAGAATTCTCAAATGAGTGTACACATCCTCAGTGGAACAGTTAAGGAAAATTGTGTGTGTTACCACGTAAGCCGGTGTCAAGTAGTTAAATCCTATTGCCACTATTAAAAAAAATTATGTTTTTTGTTTGTGTTATTTGAAATGTTTAAAATCATGCACGGCTGTACTGAGGGGAAATGTGATGGTTTGTATAAATGGAAATCTACTGTACATGTACATGTAAATGTTTTTGTTGCATAGAAACTATGTATGGCATGAGTCACAAGCGGGTTTGCATGTACATGTACA